GCCCGGGATAAAGCGGCCCGGGGGCTCCGGGGGAGGGGGGTCCAGCCCTGCGGCCGGACTGGGGGGCCTGGGAAGCCAGGAGGGCTCAAGGGGACTGGGATGGGGTCTGGGCAGGGAGATCTGGGGGCTCTGTGGTGGGGAATCCAGCCCTGGGGATGGGCAGAGGGGCCTGGAGGGCATTTGGGGTGGGAACTGGCTCTGGATGGGGGGTCTGTGAATGAATCTGATCCTGGTTCTGGGCAGGGGACTCTAGGGGAGGCTCCGCAGGGGGGAACTCGGTCCTAGGTCTAGGCAGGGGTACCTGGAGGGTCTTCAGGGGTGTGAATTGGCTCTGGATGGGGGGTCTGTGAATGAATCTGACCCTGGTTCTGGGGGAGGCTCTGCGGGGGGCAACCCAGCCCTGGGTCTAGGCACGGGGGCATGGGAGGGTCCCCGGGGGGCCCTTGAGGGCAGCCGGGGCTCACGGCCTCCCGCAGTCGCTGCTGGAGCTGCACAAGCGGCGGAAGGCGCTGAGCGAACCCGAGGTGCGCTACTACCTGCGCCAGACCATCCTGGGCTGCCAGTACCTGCACAGCCACCGCGTCATCCACCGCGACCTCAAGCTGGGCAACCTCTTCCTCAGCGACGAGATGGAGGTGAAGATCGGTAGGTGTCTGCGGCGCGGTGCCCCCATCCGCGACAGGGACCCCGAGCTGGGGATAGGCGGTGCGGGGGCCTCTGGTTTATGCTCCCGTCTTCCCCATCTCTCAAAGGTGACTTTGGCCTGGCCACCAAAGTGGAGTATGATGGCGAGCGTAAGAAGACCTTGTGTGGGACCCCGAACTACATTGCCCCAGAGGTGCTGGGCAAGAAGGGGCACAGCTTCGAGGTGGACATCTGGTCCATCGGCTGCATCATGTGAGTCAATGTGCCCTCTGTGTGGGGCTGGGCTCTCCAGGCTCTGGCTCTGCTTGTGTTTTGGTGTAAGCCAAAGCCTTGACCGTGCTGTCCCCAGAGCACCCACCCCTGCTGGCCATGGCTGCTGTCTGGCACGTGGCCGTGTGCCTCTGCGGGCTCATCTGCTCACAGCGGGGCTGTCTTGAGGCACTTCTCCAAAAGTCCTCCTTTCCCAACCAGAACTTTCTCCGGGGATACTAGATTCCTGCTCCTCCTGTCAGGGAGGAGGACCAGGGAATAGTACCTGTAACTGCCTGCTGTGCAGCCCTTCCTGTCAGAGGAACACTTGGCATCGGGAAGTCACAGGAGGCCCTTCAGCACGAGGCCCTTCTGGAGCGGGGAGCTGTAGGCCCTGCTGCAGGCTGCCTCATACAGACACTTCTCTGTCCTTGAACATGCAGGTACACCCTGCTGGTAGGGAAACCGCCTTTCGAAACCTCTTGTCTAAAGGAAACCTACATCCGAATCAAGAAGAACGAATACACCATCCCCAAGGTACGGCCCTTCCGGGGCGCTCGTTAACCTCGCAGCACGCTTGGGTTGCCTTCTGCACCGTTCTGCTTAATGCACAATGGTGAAGCAGCTCTCCCTGCCGAGTGCTAGGGAGGGGATGTGTCAGTCTGGTGGGATGCACCTTGGGGTCAGCTTCCTACTGAGCAGCTAGATTCCAGAAACCCGGAGCACTGCTGGTCCAGTCCTGCTAGAACCAGCTGGCTGGAAGCTCTGAGTGCTGCCAGGGCGTCCCCCAGGCGCAGTGAGGGAGCCCTTTGTGCAGCGGGGGAACGCGGCGCTGAGCAGAGCTACCCTGTGCTCGCTGCACCTTGTGCCCGCGGGTCTCTGTCCTGTCCTGTTTGTGACCTCTGCCCGTCTCCTCGCAGCACATCAACCCCGTCGCTGCTAACCTCATCCAGAAGATGCTGAGGTCCGACCCTGCCACGCGCCCGACTATCGACGAGTTGCTCAACGACGAGTTCTTCACGACAGGATACATCCCCTCCCGCCTGCCCACCAGCTGCCTCACCGTCGCGCCTCGGTTTTCAATTGCTCCCAGTGGGCTGGAGCTGAACGGGCGAAAGCCGCTGACTGCGCTCAACAAAGGTGAGGGCCGTGGTGCTGGGTGGGAGCCTCCAGCAACACCCAGGCTGTTGGCAGAAAACCTGGAGCATCTTGTGAGTGGGAGGTTTCTTCCCTCTTGTCCTTCCTGCTGTGATTCTGGGTCTGTCGGCACCAGCTTTAGCTGTCTGCTGTGGGATGTTTCTTGCAACTAGAACTGCAAGTAAAGCCGGTGCCCTTAGAAAGCTGCTTCCCAGTAACGCTTGTGTGCTCTCTTCTTTCCTGGCACAGGACCAGACAGCCCTGCACTGGAGAGCTTGCCTGAAAAAGCTGATGTGGCAGGGCTGCAGGAGCTGGGGGACGCTGTTGACTGTCACCTGGCCGACATGCTGCAGCAATTGACTGCAGTCAACTCAGTCAAGCCGTTCGAGAGAGTCGTCGTGAGACAAGGTGAGTCTGGGGCAGGGCCATGTGCACTGGCCTTCTTTGGTTGCGTGCTTCTCTGTCTTTCTGCTCTGCCTGAAGTGAGCAGCTTTCCTGATCAACTTTCAGAATAGGTTTCAGAATGCCTTCTAATAAATGTTTCTTCTCTTGGCAGAGGAGGCTGAAGACCCAGCCTGCATTCCTATCTTCTGGGTTAGCAAATGGGTGGACTACTCAGACAAATATGGTCTGGGTAAGTAACATAGGGGCAGCACTTCAGTCTTTTCTGGTTTCTGAGAGAAGCTGCTCTTTGGGCATTGCAGGTGTCTGACTTTTTTAATTTAGTAGTTCAACATGAAGGTGTCTAAACTCACTCTCACAAGATCATTAAATAGGGAATCTAGAGCAGCAGTCACTGAACACCGGCCCATGCCACTATGGGCAGAAAATAATCTGCATGGGATGTGGCCTTGCTCTGCTGTGAGCAAATGATGCCAGTGCTGTAGTTACTGAAGTTTTTAGCCTTCCCTGTCACATTAAACACTACAGAAAAAGTGCAGGGGAGTGCCACCCAGGCATCTGTAAGAAGGAGGAGCTCTAGATCTGGTGGGTGGGTGTCAGCAGTCCCCTACATGACCCAGTCCTTTCCGGTATTTTGCACATCAGCTCTCCTGTGTTTGAAGGTCTAACAGGTTCCCTTTTGACCTAGGTTATCAGCTGTGTGACAACAGTGTTGGAGTTCTCTTCAATGACTCCACTCGTCTTATTATGTACAATGATGGGGACAGCTTGCAGTACATCGAGCAGAACAGCACAGAGTCCTTCTTCACTGTGAGATCCTATCCCTCTGCCCTGAACAAGAAGGTCAGTTGTGGGCACAGGGCTGCTGCTGGGGTGGATGTTCCCCTGCAGCCTTGGGGGGCGGGTGTCAGGGACAAGGTTGTCTCCTGCTGCCGCTCTCATCCCGTAGGCTTCCTCTTGCCTGGTAAAACGTGGCCGAAGGAGAGACACTAGCAGCTCTAGGTTTCTAGCTGAATCTTGGTTATGGGTAGCTTCAAAGAAATATGTGCTCACAAACCTGCACGTGCCACTGTTTAGCAAAGTGAGCCTCGGCATCCCCGGCAGGGTTAACTGTCCGAGTAGGGAGTGCTGCACATCCTCCCGGCTACCCCCAAGGCCTGGAAGCCGGGAGGAGGCTCTGGAATTTCAGAAGCAGCCCCTGCCCTCCCCCTGCAGCAGGGTCACCCTCTGCCCCGCGGGTGATGGCCTGTCCTCCCGCAGATAACACTATTGAAATACTTGATAACACGACTGGACTGTCCTCTCGCAGATAACACTATTGAAATACTTCCGGAACTACATGAGCGAGCACCTGCTGAAGGCGGGCGCCAACATCACCCCTCGCGAGGGTGACGAGCTGGCCCGCCTGCCCTACCTGTGCACGTGGTTCCGCACCCGCAGCGCCATCGTCCTGCACCTCAGCAACGGCACCGTGCAGATCAACTTCTTCCAGGTGAGGAAGCTGCTCCCTGCCAGGCCCTTTGCCCGGCTCCGTGCTGAGGTGCCCTGTCAGGGTCCTGTTGCTGCTGAGACAGGCTTCAGCGTTTGCCATGTGCTCAGGGTGACCTCTCTTATCTCCCCATAGGACCACACCAAAGTCATCCTGTGCCCCCTCATGGCTGCTGTCACATACATCGATGAGAAACGGGACTTCCGCACGTACAAGCTGAGCCTCATCGAGGAACACGGCTGCTGCAAGGAGCTGGCCAGCCGGCTCCGCTACGCCCGCACCATGGTGGAGAAGCTCCTCAGCTCCAAGTCTGGCTCAGCCCGCGTGAAACCCTCTGTTTAGGCCTTGGTTTTGGAGGACTTGACATCTGTGCCAACCCGTTCCAGCTGCGGCCAAGGGGGGCTATAGTAGCATCCCTGCTTGCACTGTGACCTCCTGCTCCTGGCAAGAGCCTCTGCTGCTGTGGGGACGGCGCAGTGTTCACTGACTGGTGCCCGAGGGAGCTTCTTGCTCCCCCACACCCAATAGAAAGTCTATTTTTTATTAAGTACCTAGTCTTTTTTCTAACCTCCCACAACAAAAAGCCTGACTCAAACTGCCTCTTGTATGAGGTTCCTGGGCATGAGAGACCAGAGCGTGAGGAGGGCAGGACTATCATGTAAGTTATTTGTACATGTTTGTGCCTTATGCTCTGGGCTTTGTTTCCTCTTGTAGCAGTTCAGCTGAGATATTTAACATGCCCAGGTTGAGACTGAGCAATCAGCCTTTTAATACTGAAATTAATTTACACGAAACCTAAACTTTTGTATATTGCATAACTTGATTAAAGATTGTTTGCTGCAGCGTCCAGCCTCTCCTGGTTCTCTTTGCCTGCCCTAAGGCCTCAGTGGAGGGAGGTGGCAGAATGATTCTGTGATGCCTCTGCTGTCCCCCTCCTTCCCAAGCAAGTGTTCCCACTTCACAAGCTCCCGTGGGGCTTTTTAAGTTTAGGAGATGCTCCCAGGAGCAGCACTCTGGGGAAAGAAGGGGATGGCTGCAGCAGGAGCAGTGCTCTAACCAGTAGCTGCAGCTAAGGGGGAGAAGAGGGGCATTTTCTTACCTTTGTTCTCACCCTGGGAAGCTCTTGTTATAGCAACAGTCCTGCTGCAGTGACCGCTTTGTCCCTGATCTCAGGTATTTTTAAAAGGTGATAATAAAACATGCCCCTGAGTTGGGGTAGCTCAGCAGG